TTCTATTTTATTTGTTTAGCTTCAAGACATCTATTATCTTTCGAACAACACCGAAACTCTGCATGACCCAAAAAAAAAAAAAAAAAACTCAGATACCAAGATGCCATTCTACTCACCTGGTATTTCAACATCAAAACCAACATCTAACTGTGATCTTATTATACACTCCCTAAGAAATTGATCTGCTTATAAGTCAAACTCTAGAATCCATGGTACCATCACCTCAGAATTTAAGGGACAAAAGTAGTAGGATAGTTAAGAACAAAAAATCCATATAAAACAAAATAAAAAGAACCACATTTTTGTGCAGGGTGAACTATACTAGACTAACAAGCAGACCCCAGTAGGCAAAAGCCTCCAGCATCTCCTCAGGATGAAAGCGTAATCAACATTGCTTTACATTTATAAGTGATCCATGTAAATCATTGGTGTAGGGATTGCAAAAGCTATGCAACTATGTTGTTATTTCTTTTGCTTTTTTCAGTTAAAAAAAATTATTCACATTCTAATCCAAAGAGACATGTGAATAGTTAAAAAGGGCTCAATAAGTTCAATATTCCCACCAAACAGTAAATGGAGTCACAAGAGTGTGTCCACTAGACAGGAAAGCTAATTGAACCCCTAATCTCTTCACAAATCTCAACATAAATTCTGCAGCATGTGCTCACTGAGTTCAATGACATTGCACAAGAGGCACATACATAAATCATTTATCAAAAATCAATTCAAAGCACACTCCACACAGTACTAAGATCCATGAATTAAATGATGGGATTAAAGGAACAACTTGCATTAATCCAATTCAACTCCATTTTATTGTTTGTAAAACATCACAAAAAGAACTACTGAAAGGTTCTTCGAAGGAACATAAACTATTCATATTCCCATATGCCTACATATGAAACACAGCAACAAAGAAGAGCTAACAGGATTATTACATACCAGAACCACACCCAACAGAGCCCAACACCTCCAAAGAGACACCTTGTAGCATACAAAAGCCCCTGAACCAGAGGTATTGTAATAGTTGAGCTGCAATTCATAGAGTAATCCCTATTTCCTTACTCTTCTACAGAATGATAAAACATGTTAACTACCAAACTCTCATGTTGACACCAAGCAAACGGCATATTAAGTTAGTTAATCTACGTTAGTTACAAGATCATAATGTGATTAATCCATTTTACTTAGTTACAAGATCATAATGTGATTCCCTTTTACCTTGAGTGAGATGGGGCAAATTACCCCAAGTACAAGCAGATGTTGACACCAATCACTTTTCTACTCCCCCTTAATTCCAAGAGTGAATCCCTCAGCTATACTGTACTCAAAACTATTTAAGGCTCCACTTGGATAGATGTGGATTTGAAATACACGGATTTTGACATTAATTGTTCAAGAAGAATTACTCAAATTTAGATTTTGACATTAATCATAATTTAAGATCTAAAGTAGAATAATGTAAATTATGTTTTCTAACTATAAATTTTCCTTTGTCTCTAATTCTTTATTTTGTTTACACACGCACATGAACACAAACTAACTATTCACATTAAAATATAATCTGCTTGCCATTCACAATAGCCAAACCAAATGCTTCTAAGGTAAAGAAAGATTTTTACAGATCTCAGCAATTAAACAGAACTCTACAACCTCTAACTCTGATTCATTTTCTTTTGTACAAGATTTTACTAGATTAATAAACAAAATTATAATATTTCTTTAGTAGGTAAGATGATTCACTCACCTCATCTTGGCTTATAAGAGCTAGTTTCCTTATCAGGTACTTTTGGATAAAGGAAACAAGTACATTCCCATCCCTGTTATAGAACAAATGCATGAATTTCTTTAGACAAAAAGTTTTTTACTGTGATTATACAATAAAAACCTCATTACAAAAATTGAAAAAACTTAAGGAATCTAGCAACATCTTTTACAGAGAAGTGTTGTGGACTAGAACTTCTTGGTGGATGTTTATTGCATTCGGTAGACGTCACATATTCCATTTCACTCTTACATATCAATTTGTTTGCTGGGAGGTCATTTTCATTTGTAATTTTCTTTTAATGATCATCATCTATGTTTATAGGTTAAAATTTTTCATTACTTGGCTTGATCAATTGACTACATCCTTAATGAGTTATGAATAACAGTTACCTCATCTTGCATGTGGCTAGTCCATGTATCCATTAGTAGATATACAATTTGAAGGCCTAATGTTGCATATGGCTAGTCCATGTATCCAATGTCGAAATTGTACTTACAGCATTTCCTTCTCTTGAGAGGCTTTCCAATGTCGAAATTGTTTTGCCTCTTGTTTTATCTTTTGTTACAGTTGAACCTACAACCTCAGAAAAAATTAGCAGCATACACTAAAAATAAGACAGAATATAAAGGTGTTCAAAAAAAACATAATCCAACCTTTCAGGCCTTGATGAATCGAATTTCTTCTTGCAACTGTTTTGCTGCTTCATCACTCTTCTGCTTTCGCTTTAAAAGCTAAACCTGGTTCTTCTTAAGATCCTAAATCTTATGTGTATAAATGTGGGTAAATTTTTATTAGAATAAATTATCATAAGGAAGATACTTATAATCTAAAAATGATAGTATCTTAGCTAAAATTATCACCTGTGCCTCAAGTGATTTAATTTCTGGGCAGCATGAGTATCTTAAAATTTCTATGTTTGTCTATCATTATTAGCAGCGAGATTTTCACCTTCAGCCAACAAACGATCCCTTTCTTGCTGCATAGATAAAACAACTGAACAATGTCAAAGAATGCTAAAAGCGCATGCTTACTTTGTAACCTGTTAGGAAATATACTAAAGAAAATTCAACTGTCTTCCAGAAGGACCCCATCTAAGAGAGTAGTTGAGTGGAGGAAAACACGCTGGATATATTCACCAAATATTGTCATACTAGCAAATGTGCCCACATAAATCTCAAATTTTGGAAATGGGGAGATCTACAAGTCCAAATCATAGTTTCTACCTCAAACAAAAGTGAAATATATTGACAAAGGTCTATAAAAAAAACAAAAAAAAAAAAAACCTGCTGTATTTTGCAACTCACCCTTAAAGACCAATCCTTTGCTACCTCTTGGACCAAGAAAAGCTGCCTCCTAGCCTCTGAGAAGACCTCCAAGCTGCTGGAATGGAAGTGGTAGTGTGGTGCTAGGTGGTGATGAAGAAAAAGGGGTAGAACTTGGTTGTTTTTTAGGGTTAAAGAGAGAGATGGAGGGAGGTATGTATATGCAAGCTCAAGGCAATTTTTTCAACCCAAAACCAGAGCTGGATGCTCTGTTATATAGGCAAAAGGAGGTGAAAAAGAGGGGGGAAAATGGGTGGGGGAAAACATTCAAGTTTCCCCCCCAAAATTTGGCCCTCCAGATACAAAATCTGGGGGGTCAAAGAGGTCAGTTCTGAACTAAGCAGGGTGCAAGGATCAAGGCCGGACAGGTTTTGGAGCCGCAGGTGGCCGGCCGGCCACCCCCCATGGCCGGCCGGCCAGGGGTCAAAAGGGCCAAGGTGAATTAATGGCCGGCCACCACAAATTGGTGTCCTCTCAGGTGCCCTCAACACAACTCTGTGGTTCAAAATTGTCAACTGTAAAACAGGAGAGAGAATAGGCCATTTTTAGGAAGGGTTCAAAAGGGTCAGGTGGAATTACTGGTCGGCCACCAACTTTTAGTGTCCTCCCATGTGTGTACATCACAAATATGTAGTTAAAAGTTCAAGAAAATGGCCCAAGGGTGTTCAACATTGGCTCGGAAGTGAGAAAAACGGGCGCTGGGGGGCGAAAATGGAATATAACTAGTTGCTAAGGTAATTGCTAGCCTCCCACCCTCCAGTGACCTTCCTGGTGATAAAACAGAGGTACCTGCCAAAAATGAACGAAAACCGATGCAAAACGAATGACAATTGCTGGCCTCCCACCCTTCTACGGCCTTCCTGGTGATGAAACAGAGGTACCTGCCAAAAATGAACGAAAACCGATGCAAAACGAATGTTCGGGGGCCAGAACGCGCAGTTCGGGGCCCCGAAAAATGCCTGTTAAGCACCGAAAGTGACATTCGACCACGAAGTGGGTCTCTTAGACCTCAGTGTCCCTCAAAAGGGAGTAAATAAGATGTATTCCAAAAACCGAAGCAAATGGAGGTGGTTAAGCGGTCCCGAACCGAGGCACACGGCCAACGGCTCCGAAAAACCGAAAACCGGACTCCAAACGAGCAAAATGGCCTACGACCACGAAACGTAGGCTACGGCCACTGAGAGATGGTCTACGAGACCTCTCCCTCCCTTTGCACAGAGAAAACAGAGAAAACCGAGCTTGGTTCGCAAACCGAGGCAAAGCACAAAAGAGTTCGGAAGTTCAGAGGCAAGGCTCGCAGCCAAGACTCTGAAACTTCTGAATGAGCACAAAATGCAGTATCACCGAGCGCTCAACTGGTGACGTTTGAGTCTCAAGGTCGGTCAAAAATGGGGTGTCTACACCTTTATATCTATACATCTGATATATCACCCTCTCTCTCTATATCTCCCTCTCTCTCATCCTTAGGGTGTGTTTGGAAGCCTAAAAGTGCATTTTTACCTTACTTTTGCACTAATACACACACCATTACACCTTGCTCCGAGATTGAGGGGCTTTGAGGGCTGATTCTTGAGCTTTTGGACTGATTTTGATCAAAAGAAGAGGGCTGCATTGGCTGTTCTTGAGGTGTTCTTCAAGGGTAATCACTTTGCTTTAGTTTCCCCAAACTTGCACTAGTTTTTTACCTATCTTGCTTGCTGATTTAGGCTTTGTGCATAACATAAAAAAAGCTTATATTTTCATGCTTAAGAACTTTCATTAAGGGTGTTTCGTGATTTGAGTTCAAACTCACCCTCTTAGGCCTTATTTGGCCTTTTTGGTGCTTCCTTTGTGAGGCTTTGTTTGCTTGAGTGTCTTAGTCTTCTCACCACTGAAAACCAGTGGATTTTCAGTGGTGAGGAAGGTGGTTTGAAGTTTTGTATAGGGGAGGGACACCCCTCTCCCTTCATTGCCTCATTTCCTTGCCTTTTGGCTGAAAGGGCAACATGCATGCTTGACTGATTTTGGCCCTATTTCAGAGGTTTTTGGGCGTCTCTAGGTCACATGTTATCTCAGTTTTTGGTCGGATTTGTGCCCTTTTGCATGCTTAACATACTTGCTTTACATTCCTCTATTTGGCCTAGAAATGCATCTTGTGTTTAGGTCATGATTCTTGCATGTGTTAGCCTAATTTCATGAAGGTATTGGCATTACTTTACCATGTTTAAGGCCTGTCGGCCATCTGTTTCAGTCATGCTTGCCATGTTCGGTGTCATCTCTTTGTGCTTTGGCTTGTAAGCCTTGAGTGTATTGGCCTCTAGCATGCGTAGCTTAGACCATCCTCATGATTTGGCATCATTTAGGATCGTATTTCAGTCCATAAATCATGTTTGTATGTTTGCATATGTGACCTCTTTCATGCTTTGAGGATGTGCCCTTTTATGCCTAGAAATGAGTCTTGGAGCATGCATCTCATTGGAGCCACTTAAGCTGCCATATCAGTGGGTTTTGGAGTCCATTTTTGCATGCTAGGATTCTTTTTTTGCTTGTCTAATTCGTGCCATGAATGGTCATGTTAGTGGAAGTAAAGTGCCCCATTTTTGTGCCTTAGCCTTAGGTCCATTGGCTTGCGTGATGGCATGAGTGTTTGTCCACCATTTTGGGCACTTTTGGCCACTGTTTTGGGGTGGATTGAGGTCTGCCCCTTTATGGTTCAAGTCCACCATTGCATGCTTGTCTCATGTTTGTTGCATGATTGCTTCATTAGGTGTTGTAACATGATGATCCTATTGCTTAAATCGTCCATGTTTGCATTGCATTTGCATCTTGCATGCCTAGCATTTTGCATACCTAACATGATAGATTACATCACATTTGATATGTTTTGCATCTTAGTATCATGTTACATTTTGAGATATGTTTGTATAACATGCATAGCATTGCTTGGTTTGGGGTGTCAAATCAAGTGTGAAGGGTGAGAGGTGTTTGTACTTCAAGTGACAGAACACATCTCAACCCTCAGTCACCGGGGCCCTTGACCTTGGCATGATAGGGTCTTGGTCCTCATTTGTGTGTTGCATGCATTTTTACATTGAATTGCAATCATGGCTCCTTAGGCTATCATGCATCAAATGCACAATTGATAGCCCGAGGGTCAAGGGTCATAGTCCCTTGAGTCCGTTACATGATTGGGAGAGTAGCCATGCATACACTTGCTTGAAATTCCATGCCATACACTGTCTGTCCTTATTGCTGTCAAAAACCAGATCCTGCAGGAACTTTCTGCCGACCGGCAGTGTTCAATGCCGACCGGCAATCCTTCCTGGGCCGATAGCTTCATCAGCAGCCGATGGATATTTTCAATGGCCGGTGGACATTTCCTTCAGCCGATGGTGTTCCACAGCTTTCAGGAGACCTGTCCCAGAACTTTGGCAATTTTCAAAGAAGTAGGGCAGTGTAAACAGAGGCGGCAGTGGTATGGTACGGACTTTCGGGGCGAGACGGGTTCGAGCATGCATCATTCGCGCATCCCGAGGCGGGCGCTGTGGCCACCTTTCTTTTGGCATTCATTCTGTTAATTAATTAGAAATTTTGTAATAATTAACGTGTTTATTATTCGGACTGTAATATTTATTCGGGTCCTCCAAGTGAGGGCAATTGTGTAATAAGTGTGCGTGAGTGTGTGTATGTCTTCCAACCCCACGTCTTTCTTCCCTTTTATTTACCCGCTTATGATGGTAGACTAGGGCATGTTTAAATTAGCATACCTCATGCTATGCATGAGTGCATTCATACATTTGTCTTGCATGCACCGGGCTCGGCGCACCATTCTAACTGCATTTGTATTCCAATTCCAAATTGAATACGTGTTAGTTGTAGCATTTCACATGTCATTGTAGATTAGCCGAGCCTATCTTAGTTGCATTTTGCATGTGTTGCATTAGCCATCTTAACATGAGCTAGGATCATGCATGTGATTACTAACTGGTTTCTGTTTTGGCTTGGAGTACTAGGTAAGCACTTATGCTTTAGCATACCGAATGTGTGTGAGTGTTGCCATGATAGTATGATTACCATGTGGCTAGATGCTTATGTGATAAACTGTTTGAATGCCTGTGGGTGAAGGTTGGATTGTCTGAGTTGGAAACACTCGTTGAAATCCGTGTTTTAGCCTACTTGCGGGTTGTAAATTCCAAAACATTTTTCCAAAACAAACGGATATGCAATGCCTATTCCCAAACTAGGCAATCTAGTCTATACTTGTTTGATGTGCGCATAACGTAGTAATTCTAGGCTAATAACCGGGGTAAGAACACATAACATTTTCAAAAATGGATATCATGGTTAGTAGAGGCCGATCTTCGGATCGGGCAAGAGGGGGTGCTCATAGCTGACCTTCCCCAATCGTACCCAAGTTCCCGAGCCGAGGCAACTTTGGTGATGACGGACACGTGGCCTTTGGCACCGAGTCAGGGTTTCCTAAATTTCCCCATTTTAAAATATTTAGGTAGCGACTCTGTATCTGGCAAAGCAGTCTATGTTTGGCACTCCTTTTTCTAAAAATCTGTTTTCTCAAAATGATTTGCCAGATTTGGACTCTTTGGTTCAGATTAAGAACCGTGACACAAATCGAGTCCGAGCTGTAGCAGCGCGGGGTCCCTCGCGGACGCGTCTA